ATGCAAATGTGGAAACTGTTAATCCTTTTGCCCCAGGTAGGCTAAAGTGCACGTGTCACAATGTTTTGGAGCTTTATTTTCAAAATGTTATTAAATAACATTTTTACTACTTACATCAATGAAATTGGCATCAAAACGTACTTTATAAATTAAATTTTGATATTATATATGTTTTAATTTAAAAGGAAATGTAAAGAAAAAAATTTTAAATATCGATTTTGTGTGTCACATAACACTTCCAGTTGCCTTATTGTTCAGTTGTCATTTTATTATGCCCACCATACAACATGTGTAAGTAGCTAACGAATTAGAAACTTGAATTTGAAATATAGACAAGCTAAATATAAAATAAGAACCGCCCTCCTCTATGATCTGCTGAGATAGCAATATTTTTAGCAAGCCTACTAGAGTGGCTCCTCCCACAGCACCAATCTTTTGAAAGCTCCTATCTAGTCCCACTTACTACTAATTACCTACTTCTTATAACCAATAGAAAGAACATTTTCACCCCTACATAACTCTGACAGTTGTTTATAAATAGCTTGAAGGAGAAAAATAATAATTTTGCCAAAACCATTGAAGTGTGATGATTTAGTCATTGCTCTGAACAGGAATGGGATTTTTTTTAACCCACATACAATTTATTTAGAGACCCGACTAAATTACGGGGATTTTGAGTGTACTAGTACAGTAATTTGATAACTTTTTGGTCTTCAAAAATTCATATTTGAAGCCTAAAAAAATTAGTATCTCTACCCCTCCACCTAAAAGAATAAACGAGGCTTAGCAAATTCGACGCGCGAGCGCACCATTTTGTAACACGGTTATGTACTCGAAATCTTTGTTTGTCAGTATATTTCTCATTTACTTTCTAAGTGTGGTGAAAGTGAAAGAGGGTAGTATCATTTATAAGAATGTGCCCAAATAAGACTTTCATATACTCATGCTACAAAATTCCACACACATCAAATTGGTGACCAAATAGTAATGAAACACCTGCTATGTAATTGGATAAGTCCAGTTGAGAACCTACAATGTTTATTTGATCAACCCAACTCTGAACCATATAATAAATGTTTTTACACATTCTAATTGCACTTTTATTACCCTGGGAAATTCCTGTTGAAAGTGTTGTAGGAACTACAAACTGCTATATCCCATATTGTGTTCTCGGAGCAAGGGGAATGTCACCTCACTGAATATGCATGCATTTTTGTGCTCGAGAGTTTTGTATTACGGTTGTATGTAAACACTGTGTCTTATAACACGGGTGGTGAATTATTGTTTTTTTGTCAGCGGGTTTGTAATTTGTAGGTGACAGTAAAATAAACACAGAAAATACATGGGATACGTTTAGCAGTTGAAACTATCAGGGGAAGAACTTTGAAACTTCATGATCAATAATGAAGAAAGGAAACAGCTGCTCATTATATTTCTGATTTTACAATTTTTCATTTCATTCTACATCAATGAGTTTTCTACAGGCTGAAGAATCAAATAATAAATGTAATAACAGGTAAAATATAATGTTTTATTAAAAAGAAAGGTATATATATGTATTTAGGAGGTTTCAGAGGTTTTACAAATGAAATTCAAGATTTTTGAAACAAAGAAAAGTATTTTAAATTTTAAAATGAAAATCACTTTGCACTGAGACTAGTTAAAAAAAAAGAATCAATATTTTCACAGACAAATATAAGCAAAAATACTTCATTAAAAAATCAGATTTTTTGTGTGCAAAAGGCTTCTAATGTTTACTACAAGTCTACAAAATTTTGTAAAGATACACTTAAAATATTAAAAGTTATAGCATGAAAACTATAACAAGCATAAAATGGTTATGAGGTTGGTCCCAGGAACCAAGCCCGTGTCTAAAGAGTTAAAGAGGACATCGACATGTTTTTGCTCCAAAGCCAAGTGATTTCTTTAATCAGAGCATTAACAACCTGATTGTAAGATGAAAAGCATCATCGATAAGAATGGAGACTATCTCATTTAATAAATGTTTTGTTTTGATATACAAGTTGTTCAGGTTTTTTCACCTAAAAAAGTGACATTAATTTCATGTTTAATGAAAATTTAAAAATATTCTAAAAAAAATTTCTTCACTTCTATAACTGTAATAGTGCAATCATACCACATATTGACAAGAAAATAAAAGATTACTTATTAAAATCAAAATAAAAAGGGCTAAAACCCTTACAGTGTGTTCCCCAGTAATTTCCTGTACCAGTCGAACACCATCAAACTCATAAGGTCCTTTGTGGCTGCTGGCAGCTTTAACTTTCAAAATATGTCTCAGGTCTGAGGCTACATCTTCTTCGCTGGAATCTAACTCATCATTGTGTTTTAAATGATACACTACAAAGAAAAACATAAACCATTTCAGTTTAGTTAATAATGCCAAGAAGGGATAAAAGTCTTTAAATAATGAGTATTCAAGTCAACTTTAACATTATCAAATGTACTACAGAACATTACTAATGCAGAGTGATCCAAAATTACCATTCCTATTTTAAAATTAAATAACTAAAGAAATACAACCAAGTAGCCCAACTCAAACATATTTTATTGTGATGTTTTTTTGTTTTTTTTCATTCCAGCAAGTAATGTTACTCCATAAAATGGCAACTACAAGAAAAGGCTCAATGCAATGAATTGGTCAGAATGGGCCAATTCTTTGGCCTTTCGCGTTCACAGGACATCACTCCACTAGCCTTCTTTCTTTGGGGGGTATGCTAAGGACATTGTGTATTGTACACCTATAGCAAACATTATGGAGCAAAAGGTCAGAATAATGGATACTATCACTGCAGTAACTGTGGACATGTTGAAGCGAAGGTGGACTGAAATTGAATATCAGTTAGACGTGCTGAGAACCATTAATGGTGCATATGTAAAAGTCTACTGACATGTCAATAGAAACTGTTTGAGTTGGGCTACAAGATACTGAAAACTCAATGCTTGCATTTCTTTAGTTATTTAATTATTAAATTTCAAAAGATAATTTTGGATCACCCTGTATTACACTCATTAACATTACACTATTTTTAAACTAAAGGATCATTTGCATTATAAAGGCCATCAAATCATTGTTTTATAAAAACATCATTGGCAAGATCCAAAAGATGTCTGTAGCTAGAAGGCTTTCCTTACAAATTGAAACACTAATACCATCATAATTAGGTGGATATTACAGTGGATCAATGCTACTGATTTTGCAGCAAATAAATGGGAAAGCTTTGATGATGGTCAGAACATGTTGGCAGTATCTTTAGATGTAGAAGATACCTAGAGTACAGTCCAGTTGCCCAATCTTGCTGACTAATCTTCAGAATAAATATCAGTGAAATGTGTAAGATGGATTGTAGCTTCATTAACTGCCAGAAGAAGCATCATGAAGCATGAAAGCAATCAGATTGGAATGATATCAACATTTATCTGCCGCAAAGATCAATATAGGTGAAAAGGTACTATACAGCCACCACTGAGATAATTTGTCACAACTAGATCTCAGATTTTCTCATATAGAATAAATATCTAATGCCACTGGGATCTATTGAAATCTGCTTAGACAAAAAATGTAGAGACTAGGCAGGATGAAGAAGAAAAAGCCTGTCAGTACTTATTTAAAGATCATGGTGGACAATCACCTGTCATTATAGCTACATATGGTTCCTACACCAAAGACATTGAAAAGCTGATTGGGAATTCACTGTTCCTCCTAGCAATAGCATTCTGCATGAGGCTGGTGAAGCATTCAAGCTTCCTACAAGCAGCATAAGGAAAGGGCTGGAAGCCATAAAGTAATCAATGAACCACAAATGTACAGTGCCACCAACATATCTGTGACTACCTCACAGGCAGTACTTCATAAAATACAAAAACATGGTACCCTAAAGGATGACCGAAAGTAAACCAGCTGCATGGTAACACCATGATCTTGATATTTGTGTCAAGCTTTGCAGGGGCCAAGCTAAGAGAAACCTGACAAGCTTGCATGAGAAGCCCCTTTATTAATTTCAGCACAACTCTAGGACATTGACCATCTGTGTACAGAAGGAATGGAACTATTGGGAGGGCAAAGTACTGAATGGCATAGATAGGAAAAGTAAAAGATGGGAAATCAGTAACATAATACACAGTCAGAAGGCTACTGGTAACATCAGTAAAGGTACTCTCCAGTGAGGCAACCATTCCCCATATGATGGGTCGACAACTGGTGGTGCAGCCGCTGAAACTGTCATATAGTACTCAACTTTGAATCAAAGAGAACAATAAAATTACATCAAATGAAATCAAAGTAACCTTCATGTATAAAGTTGAGAAGGACATTAAAAAACAAGTATGGTTAATGTCAAATACAGAAAGAATAAGCCGAAATTAAACCACTTTCACAGCATGGGAACATTTTATTGGATGTAACATTGATTAAAGTTTGATGTAGTTTACCACATAAAAAAAATCTGCTCAATATGAAAATATCTGAAATTGTGAAAACTTGAGTTTTTTTGTTTTATACTTAGAAGTGTACTGTATAACAACTAAATCTGATTGCACCTGACTTTGTGCATGTAGACTACTAAAGTGTTTATATAACCATTTTATAATTAACAAAGTTACTGTTATGTACAAAACAACTCACCCTCATCAGCTACAGTTTTCAATTTGTGGACAGTCTTTTCTACTTTCTTTCCAAGCATTTTTCTGAACCTTGTGCTGTTTAGAATATGTGATATCTTATACAACTAAAGAAATCAATTAATTTTCAAACTACTAATAGTATCACTGACAATTACAAACAATTTTAACAATCACCACCTGAATAATAATTCTGAAAAATCAATTATGTATTGTTATTTATAAAGAAACTATGATATTTATTATTATAATTAAATTGGTGATATTATGGGAAGCATTTTTAGAAACCACAATAAAAATATATAGTCATGTGATTCCCCAAAAGCAGAACCTGTTCATATTCCTTTTCATGTGAATGATATTAAAGAATTACTTCCTTGCTCATTATAAAAACCATTCCCACACATTCAAAATTAGAAAATAACAATGAACATTAGGGCAAATTGCTGAACAAATCTCCAAAATGCAGAGGTAATTTTATGAATTTTAGTTTTTGGTCAGAAATTTTTTCACATGAAAATACAGACTGAAAAGTTTGAATTAAATTATTTATAATTCAGACTATAGTCTTAATATAACCCACAATCAAATCCTTCAAAGATCATCACTAAAAGCCTAACTAAAAACTACTAACTATTTCATACAAAGACCCAAAATGTTGTGTTAACACAACAAACTGACTAGCCTTTTTTATGTGGTATACTGAAATACATGGTTGTATGAAATTACAATATGCTCAACACGTAAATGGGAAAAAAAAACAATCGTATGAAACTTCACTTTTTTAGAGACTACTTCGCACTTACACCTACATCTGGATGGTTAATTGTGCTTTTCCTATGACAATGCTGGGTATTTGTAAGGGTTTCATTCATTCAAAGCCACACTCACTCAGTTAATTGGTATACAAATATTAAATTACTAATAATGCTTTTAAATTATTCAAATAATTATAAAGACCAATCAAATTTCAAAAGATGTTTATAATTAAAAATGTATTGAAAGACCACTTTATTAATTCACCATATTATCATTATTATGTTTATTTTATTAATGAAATTGTTTTAACATTTGATCACATGAATTTGTTAGGTAAATTTTTTGAATGTTGAATTTTTTTCAAATATTTCTCACATGCTGTTCCTGTTAAAAGACAATAAAATATTAACAATCCATCAAAATGCAAAAACAAATAAAAAATACAAAACTGCAATACAAATTTCCATACTTACGTTTTCTTTAGAAATCCTTGCAAATCTACAGGTTCATTGTCTGTTGAAGTTTTCTTGATGTCAACACTGTCCTCATCAGAATCTCTTCCTTTATCAATTTCAGAGTTACTGTTCAAACAATGCATATAAAGCATTATACTATAAACCTGATAAGTAATGTTTCATTTTAATCAACTAACTAAATTATCACCTGTTTAAAAAAAAAAAGACTTACTGTATATATCAGAATCATTCACACATTTCAAATGTTTCTAACTAATAATTTGAAAAAATGAAGCTGTTAATCAGCTACTGATATACAAGCAATGTAAGTAAAATTAACTAAGCTTCGTGGCATTTAAAGTCTAAGCTAGTTAATGTTAGTTTGATTTTTTAAGAGGTTTAAACCTACACCACATATCACTTCATACATGTATCAGTAGGCCTAGTAATTTGCATATATATGTTGCTGCAATAGTTACTCCCAAACATACCTAACATACTGTGATGTTAGCCTCATTATATGAAGAGAAAGTGGGTTAACACATTTAGGGAGTCGCTCTTCTGCTAAACTGAGAGGTACTCGTTCTCCTGTGTCCAAGTTGGTGACAGTAATTTGTTCAAGTATTTCCTATAAATATACAAAAATTACAATTTATTTTTTCTGAAACAATGAAACCTTATCTTTACTCTAAAAATTACATAAATTTTTCATCAAATGTGGATTCAAAATGTCAAAATAACCTAGATGTTTTAGTTTTTGATTTTTATGTTTAATTACAAAATAAAATGTCACTGTGTATTCTACAGTTTCAGCTAATCTGGAAATTATGTATATATACATGAACAAATACATTTTAAATGGTGTACAATTAGATAAACATTACTAAAATATTATTGTATGAATCAAACAAATTATATTTCTACCTTCTAGCTCACAATGATAGATTAAAAATTGTAAATGCAGGCCTATTCTTATTTCTTCCTCCTAAGCAGTGTACTGAGCGAAAAACATCCATTAAAATGTAAAATTCTGTTCTATTAACCTTTTCTGGGGAGTATCACTTATATCCCCCTTCAAACAAAAGAAATACTTAACCAAATTGCATGAAACTTAGTAAGTAAATTAATATTATTTGAGTTAGTATTTCTATCATTTTTTGAGGTTGTGAAATTTCAAAAACTTTGTGAAACATTACAAAAAAATATATTAGACTTACTTTTCTTCTTTGTATTTAAATATTTTTTATTACTGATCACAAAGTTTCATTTTATATATCTATTCAGTTTCAATTTGTTTGATATTCATTAACATAATTCCTTTGATACTTTATTTTGACAAATGAAGTAGTCAACACTTCCAGTTATAAAAGAAACTGACAGAGTTATCACTGATCTAGGACACAGCTTTTCACAATGGTTCCCCATTACCTTTGTCAGACTAGGTTTTCATTTTTGCTAAGAATATTCTTGATAGAGAAATTTATATCTAATAAGTACAGTTTTGTCTTCAATGAACAAGGTATTTTATTTGTGTGTTGCCTGAATATGATAAAAATTGTCAGTTAAAAATAACAATAAAAAAGGATGCAAGCCATTCAAATAGCTTATTCGGCCAAAAACGACCGTTATTAATAAGAAATTAAAAGGTTGAAAATATTTTTAATGTTCTGTGTAACACCCGACATTCAATTTATCTTAATTTAATTTCTGCTTAAAGTATATTTGTCCCCAGTGGCACAGCATTAAAAACTGGGTTTTGATACCCGTGGTGGGTAGAGCACAGATAGCCCATTGTGTAGCTTTGTGCTTAACTTCAAACAGACAAACAAGTAAAGTGTATTTGGAAGTTTAAAGCACTTCTTTGACTATTAGGCTTACTAATTGAAATAATAGGATACTTCAAGTGCTTTGTAAAGCTAGAAAGAAAAACCATTTATCTGCTATATTATATAGCTATGATATAGCATATGAGTGGTTTTTATTTGACAGTACTGAAAGGTAATTTAGTGAAACTATCTCTAGTGAACCCATTTCTTACTAAACTTACTTAACTAAACACAAGTAAATCTACCCATGGTCTTGTTGTAGAAAATAATTCCTATACTTTTCAAAGAGATATAATTTAACATGAAAACATTTTTAGGAATTAAAGAAATGTTGAAAGAAACAATAAAAATTTCCAGGTCTGTAGTTTATCCCTTAATATTACTGTGTATCAAAATTCTTTTACACCCCTATGGGAGCTCTGGGAAGCTGGTATTTTGAAGAACCACAAACTTCTGCTACAATCACTATTTAATCTACCGATGTAGATAGATTAGAATATTTTCTGTCTTCTAGCCATTGACTCTCGCTATTTTCATAGCTGAGCTTCATTAGTGATTGTTCAGACCACATGCTTGACAAAAAAAGTAGACAAAAGGACACAGTAATAAGTGCACTGACATAGAAGGAAAAATCACACGAAAAAAAGAATCATTACTTTTTTACAGGTGATAGTTGTATTGTCTACAGACAGGAGCTGTGCAGAAATAAAACCTTGGAAATTTTTCTTTTTTAATTAAGATTTAAAAAATTTATATAATGATTAAATATCAATTACAAAGTATTTTGGAGTAAACATCTGTAGAAATATAGTTAGAATTACATTTTTACTTACATTTTGGAACTTTACATGCATGTGTTTATTGGAATTTGGAAGGGGCGCACATTGTTCATGACAGGATTAAATGTGCACGTATTTATTAAGCATTATATCTATCATAATTTTGAATACAGCAATCATAGTCACACAAATATAAAAATTTATTTTTCAAGTGATATAACTTTTTTAAAATACCTATCACAGATGCTATTTTGCTTATTAGCATAGTAGCAAACTTGTGAGCCTATGGCCCACATTTATAGAGCCACTATAATGCAAATTTATTGCTTGAACTAGTATTTTGCACTTTTTAGTTTAATGATCATTGGTGCTATAATGTAAGTTTGATTTATTTACCTAAGTTATGAACGTTAATTAGTAGGCCTACTTATTTATGTGCTGTAATGTAAATCAATGCCAAATTTTGGGGCCCCTTTTGGGGAATACCCATAAAAGTGGTTCCCTGAGAGGTTGGGTGAAAAGTTTTATCTTTGTAAAACCTCATTTGGCACCAGTTGAAAATTGATGAGTCCAGCAGTTTAGGGAGAAAGGGTTTTCAGGAAATACCTGGTCAGGTTTCCCAAGGGGTGGGATGAAAAATTTTACCTTTGTGCAAACATCTCAGGGCTGAGATGATTCGCTTGGCACTATTTAGCAAACCCACGAGCCCATGGCCCACATTTTCCGGGGTGTTATGATGTTAATTTAAACTACTATATTTATGACCTTCAATATAAATCAATGACAAGTTTGGGGTCTGCTTTCGGGGTATCCCCATAAGTGTTTTTGCAAAATACCTAGGTTCTTTAAGGGGTTGGGTGAAAAGTTTTACCTTTGTGCAAGTCTCAAAGCCGAGATGATTTGTTTAGCAATATTTAGAAGTTGGTCAGCCAAGCAGTTTAGAAAATGGATTTTTGGAAACTCCTAGGGGTGGGGTTAAAACTTTTACCTTTGTACAAACCTCATGACCAGGAAGGTTCATTTGGTACCACTTAAAAGTTGGTACAGTTTAAAAGGAGTTACGTGACATACATACACTGAAACTTATTATATAGATCTTGCAAATAAAAAAAAAATACAAATAGTTTGAATGCGAAAGAACAATTTCCATTTTGATCATGAATCATACTTTTAATAAAACAGTGAATATTGGTATGAATATTTCGAATTTTGTTTTTGTAAGTCAAAAACAAAAAGTTCAGTAATAATATAAGATTTAAAATAAAATTCAAAAGCTTTTAATTTTTAGGAATACACTCTTGGTAGTAAGACTGCTTTAATTAAATATTCAGAATGGCAAATTGTACATATTTTCTTGTAGGAAATTTTCATGTTTTACAATAAAAATAAACAAATTCTAACAATCAAAATATATATCCATCTGTTTATATAAGCAACTGATATTAAAATTTGATAGCTTTTACATACCCACTAGAACTAGTCCAGATCCTTTAAAACTTTGACTATAATGTAAACAAGTCATCAGTATGTCAACTTACCATGTCAGCTACTATTAACAATTAGGAAAAGTGCTCTACTAAATCTAATATTAAAACCATTTCTTACCAAGTCTGTTAGTGGTCTTCCAGAGTCAGACCTTGTCCTCATCATCATATTCATTTGCTGCATGCTGCCCTCTGGTGTTCCCCCAACTCGCTGTTGTTCTAATGAGTTTCTGACTGGGCTTTTTTTACCATCTTCATTAGTGGAAAGAGAAAACTCAGTCAGTGTATTAGAGGGGCTTCTATAATTTGATGATTCTGCCCTTGTGTGCTCATGATCCTAGAAGAAAAATAAAAACATTTACCTAAAATAAAAAGTACTGCTATTTAAGCTACATTTTTTTTTTTTTATCTAAAACACTTAAATTGATCCTTCAGAAGGTAAATTGCAAAATTTAGAAGCCAGGACACAATACCAGCTAAACAAAAGTGAGGAGGCAAAGAGTGTCATCCTTGTTTTCTCCCACGACAGTCTGTGATCCAATATACAATTTTGTACAAGTTAGAAATAAACAAAATATACACACAGAGTTTTTTTTTATGTAATTTAATGTTTACAGTGCTTTGAAGTGGAACCAACCATGCAATTTTTTGTGTGTGATTTAGAACTATTTAAATACCATGAAAACTCAGTGGTATTTAGATATTCATTGGAAATTCAAATGCTGTAACAATATTTTCTGTGATGTTTAGTTCTACTACAAATGATACTGTAAATATATGACAAATGAGTATCCTTTTTAATTAACAACTCACTGAAAATTTCCAGATATCAGGTCATTTCTGATGCTTGGAGTTAAGCAAGCCTTACATCAAAATATTTCCCTGAAATTCCCAAAGAAACCTTACAGCAGAGAAATAGATATTTTATACTTTTAATATTACATATAGAAATATCAAAGATGTTTTGCTAATGAAAATTTTACTATAACATTTATTAAACATACAAATTCTCACCTATAACCTTTGTTTCCTTCTTAAATCTGTAAACTACATACATCTATAACTGAAAATTGTTAATAGTTAAAAAAACTGAATTTTCTCTCTCTAAATTTTGTCCACTTTCTGCTTTTGATATAAATGATCCTTCGAATTCTAATTAATTTTTACATCTACTTTCTTACGTTAGTTTTCAATAACAACGCATCATAAGCAAGACTTTCACTACCCAAATAAGAAGCAGAAATAGTTCTTATAATACTCTCTTACAGTTATTAAGTATAAAAAATGTACATATATTTATAATGTTAATCAGTATGGCCATTAATACATGGCTATACTTTCATGTCAAAACTGATTTTAAAGATGCTCTGAATCTTTTTTTTTTTACATTATTATTTGGCATTTGTAAGGTTTCATTATCTGAAGCTGCCTCTGATATTACAGTATTATTACTAAAACAATACTTTGTACTTGCACATTCTAAAATATGAGTTTGTGACTCATCAAATGTTCAGAGGCATACAGAAAGCAAAAGCCTAAAATTAATGCTAGTAACAGTTTTCTTTTCACATATATTAACAAATATTTTCAGTGTAAAAAAAAATTAAGTTTTCACTCTTGATTGCACATTGTATAGCTAAATGCCCATAAAGTAGTAGTGTGAATTTTTGTACTTTTTCTTGCTGGAAGATTTGAATTCATTGTGAAGTTCAATAAACCCTTGAAATGGCAATTATATCTTACAAAAGTAGTGTAAATATCCCTTCTCACTTGACTCATAGTTCTACACTTACAGCTTCTGTATTTTATAAACAGTCCAAATTCAACCATTAAAAACTATTTCACTAAAACAATCACTTCAAAACAAATAAACTTTTAATAAAACTTCACAGTACTTACATATTTTTTAATTACTTAAATCTAATGATACATGCAGTAGTGTAAGAATATGTTTGTAAAAGTTCTCATACATTATATGAACAACAACCAAGTCCAACTTTCAATCATGCAAAGAACAAGTTAGAATCTAATTTCTGTCAAGACATGAAACAAAAAAACACAATAACTTTGTAAACTACACCTGTGGCTTGACTATATACTCTCCACGTAGGGCACTCTTCAGGTCCAAAGAATTTTCAAGCTCTCTAGCAAGGCTTTCCACAGTAGTTGTAGGGCTGGGCAAACCTTGCTGTGTTTCTAAGCATCTATGGGGTGGTTCATGTTTGCTTTCTAAATTCTGGATATTGGCAGTTGCCTAGAACAAGAGAACACACACTAAGGTCAATGAATACCTGTAAAATAAATTACTTCTCACCATATATAACAACTGATTTATCTTATTAACCAATTAAACAAGTTAAAGCTGTGCTCTCACTATCCCCATTTACAGATACCTAATTTGGAAATATGACATGCAAATAAAATGGGGATTGTGAAAACCAGCATGGCACCAGCAAGTGAAACAATCTTGTTAATCATAATTATAGGAATCTTTTCTATTCAGAATCTTGCAATATAAATGACTGAAATGCATGTATCATTGGTGTACTAATACTTGACATTAAGAGTCTGTGAATCTTCCTTCTGTATATTAACAATATTTTCTAGTGCCATTATGGACAATTAATGTGTGTGAGAGAAGAATAGAATTTCCACATGAGGGTGCTTCCCCAGTGTGTAGTTTCTTTTTTTGCTGTCAGAAACAATTATGGATTGTAAATGTTATGTTTTTTCATCATAAACAATCATAAAAATGATAACCAAATGCTTGGTTAAGCCAGAAACTGGCATAACCAATCATTACACACTTCTAATGAATAGCATTACAATACACACAATTTTAAGACCAATTCTAAACATCAGTAAAATTTACTTAAATTAGTACAGGCTGAAATAAAATATATATAAAGAAGTTAAGAAAGTTATATTAAAATGACTTTGGAGTTCCACCATAATATTATAGTTCATGTCACCATGTCTGGTCATGCTGTATCTGATAACCGCACATCTTGATAATAGCCCTGCAGCATGATTTTCATTGCAAAAGGCTCTGTTGTCAGGCTGTCACTTTAAAAGCAAACCACTACTCTCTGCATGCTTTCCATGATCCATTTAGTGTACAAAGATGAGAGTCTCCAACTGCCTATTTACACAATCTTATGATACAGAAATCCAAAGGTAATGTATGTAGCAACTTGATTGGTAAGTCATGGTATGGAATAACATGAATACCTGTTTCATTCACCAGCAACTTGTGTACATGTGAGTTTTGTAACTTTGCAACACAGAGATGCTTCTTGATTATTTGCATACTGTTGCTTGCGTCACATGTAAAGCCTTTACCACTGAACTGTGTGTCCATGGATTCTCATCTGTTACAATACACCTTGCTCTTACTTTGTTTACCATAGTTGAGGTACAACTGGTTGCAAATCTTTATCTGGAAGATCCTGGTGCCCCAAGTTGATCAATGCTCCATTTGTTTTCCAATCTTGGGAATTCTAAATCAATGATGTGAACACATTTTTATGACCAGAGTGTTTAAATGTTTTTCATCAGGAGGAGTTGTTATATGCTATTCCTAAAAAGTGAGCAATAATATGAAAAACCAAATAATGTCCAAAAGTATTTCTGATACATTACATTCTATCATGACTTCATATTCAAAATTGTTTCAATACAATGTACTCAACCCTCTGTTTTAACCCTAGAATTACTGGTGAGGTCCACACGGACCTCACTGGCTTTAACACATTTTTGCAAACTATTTAGGAATGACGTTGTTTGTGTATCTAGATCTTCATTGATTAGAGGGCTTCTAATAACATACAAACAAAAACACATATTAACATTGTAATTTACCTTACTATTTACTGCTGGGATTTACAATGTATTTGAATGAGCAATTTTGCCTAAATTTTTTGGTTACCATATTTTACAGCATATAAAAATCATTCTTATTTTAGCAAAGAATATTTGGGAAAAAAACATTGAAGTCTATCAGAGCATCTAATGTTTACTCCAAATAACATCAAACATAAGAACTGTTGCACATTGCAAATATGTACTGTAGTAGAAGTAATGTTCATGAGAATTCAGAAACACTTATTGCTTAGCACTGAAGAACTAGGTGAACTGCTCAGCTGTACTGATGCTAATCATCTTGGATTATTATTATCTATAATAAATATACTCATATATCTATAAGACTAATCATATATTTTTGTATAGATTAATTTTTATATTTTAATCTACAGTTCTCTGGGGAAAGACTAGGTAGAATTTAGTTTATGGGGCAAAACCGAGAGATGCATTTTCTTTAACTTCACATATTAGATACAAGGATTATTTTTAGAGACTTTTTTTCATTAAAAAAAATATGGTAGTTCTTTACCATATATATTGTAACTGGCAAAAACACAAAATTACTCATCATGATCAATAAGTGGATGGTGTACCAAGAAGTCAGTTATTTGAGGGTTACTTGAACAAAGTACAAAATAGGTAAGTTAAACTTGAACTTACTCTCATGAAAGATACAAGATAATAAGAATGCCATTCATACTTACAAATGTAATTTTTAGAATAAATAACCTCCGAGAATTAATAAAGACAAATAAGAAAAAGGACAGAATGCAAAACAACAGTAAAAAGTTCCAAAAAGGAAACAAAATTCTGTACAGAACTTCAAGAATATCTAAACATTTACCTTCTGGGTATCTAGACTAGCAGGTGGTTTAATTTTTCGTTTCCTTCTTGGTGGGGCTCTTGGTACTGCTGTTACTTCTCCACCTCGGTCTCCCTTTGTACTAGCTACTATATCAGGCTCAGGAGCTCTGTCAAAAAAGCTACTTGTACTTGGAAGGCTTTGCTGTGTGGACCTACTATAGATACTTTCCCTAGAACTCATACTGGTCCTGTCATTTTCTCCCAGAATCAACCCTACATTACCTAGACTCAACAAACTCTGACCATCTACAGTCTTTTGTTGAGAATTTTCTTGTGATTTGTTATCAACTGTTAGAAAAACTCCATCTACTGAGGAAGCTTTGCTACTTTGCTCTGAAGATGGAAAATCCAGTACATCATCATCATCTGTTAACATACGTCTCCTCATTTCTTCCAGTCTCTTCTTCCTTTTCTCAATTTCTTTTGCCTTTTGTTCAGCTTCCTAGAAAATGGAAAACATGAACTCAAGAATCAGAATTTTCAAAATGAACAGCGTCTTATCTATTTATGAGTTAAACAACCAGGTCAGACCACCTTTACGATTCACGTATAGCCATCCCTAAGTTTGAACTATTCAATGTGTCACCTTAACCAAAATTCTCCACTATTTCTCATTTCATGTAACTTATTGAACAGGAACCAAGAAAAACTACATAATTCCTGCTTTCTTGTCACAACCAAGATTTTGTATTTGCAACCATTATAATATATCTCACCAGATTATGGGTAGGTAAGTATCCTCTGGATTCTAAAAAATGTAAAATTCAAACCAGATAGACTTACCTCTAAAATATTGGAAGTCAGAATACCCAAATTGAAAACCAGAGAGTGTCATAGTAAAAAGACAACCATATCACCAGATGTTGAGCTCTATGATAGAAAAGTAACTTACCTAGACCACTGTAACTGATTGTTGTGATCAAGTAGAGCTTGAGCAGAATCCACAACTAGAGGAAATGAGACTGAATGGGTTATTCTTCTGAAAAAAAAACTGAATGGAAAAGACCAGCCTCTAAATATGATGACATTCAGAAAGTAAATTATTCTTTTCAGCAAAGTATCTCTTCACTCTAAACACACTATATCTAAAAAATAGAAGGGGGAGATCAGACAACATGTAAATACTTTGATTTTTATGCAAGTTCTTTGGTGTGGTAACAGGTAGATAAGATCAGTATTTAAGTAAAGACTGGACATATTCCTGAGATTAAAATCCTTATCATCTGAAACTGTAAAGGCCAGAAACGTATGTAACCTGCCTAGTTAGCAGGCACCAAGGCACAAGGTAGGTGTGAGAATGGGCTTAACAACTCAAGGACAGTGCAATAGAAACATTGTATCAGTGTCTTTGGTGTTACTAGTTGCAGTACCCATTGAAAGGCATTTTATAGGCCATTAGTTGGACTATTTCAAATACCTTTTTAAACTTTTACTTAAATTACATCCATATCTCTTCAGCTTCAGGAATCATGTTTTCTGTTGTGATTCTCCTAGCCAATGAGAATCCCTAACAGTAAGTTCCTTTACACTCCTTGAAAAGTACTTGCAGGATCTGCCTCTTCTAACATGAGGCTCCATGTTTAGGTGGAATTGTCCAGTCGGGGCTCTTATTTGTTACCATTTATCTCTATGATTGTTCTAGATGCTATATCACCATCTGTGCTGTTGCTCTGTTTGAGGGTGATGTCTTCTGAAAGTGGACAGAGGATGCTATCAGGTGGCAGATGATGTCTCACTGGGTACCTTTTCCTACTCCTACATATATGTCCTTGCATAACAATTTCAAGGCATGGCGTTGTCACAACCATTTTCCAATGGATGTCTCATAGCTCCAACCAGGATGGAGAACACCATATACAGCATCATTTTCACCTTCTCTTACTGTATCATAAATTTAGAATATTGCACGATGAAACCCAACATTTACAGATAAGGTGATTGGATACATCACAATAAACAAGCCAGATCAAATGCAACAACATTTTTTTTATAATGCTGTTGGAGCAAAATCTTAGGAGTGCAATTGGCCCTAAGGTATAAACTACTTGTTCTGAGACCCTCAGGGTTGTAGGTCTATTTTTATTTTTGTCTTTTTTCTACTGAAACAAAACATAGATTTTCACACTAGATTTGTATATAGAAAATACAATAGCTTAGTCCAAGTTCCAGGAAATCAGACATATATCATTTTTGAGTAAAATAAAATAGATGTTTTTTTTATACAATTTGGGTCTCCTCATTCTAAAAATTGGAAAAACAAAACAAAACTAGATTGCTACCAAACATAATACATTTCAGCATAATTTCTTATCTATTTTAGACAGATAAATCATTTAAGACTTTTCTAACATTTTAGGCATCCAGAAATTCAATGGAAGATAGAAGAAATGTGTAAGAATAAGCACTTAAAAACACCTGTTAAGAATCAAAATAATTTTTCCAAAATGGCTGCCAAATACATCAGATCATATCATCTTATTTATTAAATATAATGTGATGATCTAAAACTCTTTTTAGGATATTTTAGTCATCAAGTAATCCATTTAAATTAACATACAATATATAGTTTTGGTCCTTCAAGACCATTTTTGAAAAGTCATGTTTCTTTTCACATAAAAAAAAAAGTCCATATTTACATACAAAGTTTTTAACTCCAGATCATTAAAGATCGAAGCATAATCTTACTTAGATCATATTTTGATATTTTAAACATCTACAAACCAAATGAAAAGCAAAATGAAATACTTCTAACACTAAGGTCAAAGGTCAAGGTCATATTCCATTCAGGTATAACTCAATTTAGTGTTAAAATTTTTATTATATTAATTCCCCAGGACATCAACTTAGAATAATCAGTCTGTATCCAGTACTAACTTAAAGGGATTCATATCTTATAAACGTTGTAGCATGATTAA